TCCCAACCTAATGGATACTGACCTTGGCATTTTATTTATAGTCACTAACAGGTCAAAGTTGTACTTATCTAGTGAAATATCTCAACAGCTAATTAATAAACCTGCACAATTTATACAAACCTCCATGATCTTCTGACTTTTGTTCTTGTTGACATTTGTGGTGTTAACTCCTAAAAAGTTTTCACCTTCTGGAAGTTACCTAATTTAACATAAGTGCAGGCGTTTGTTGCCAGAAGTCACACAGACAGTAAACTGGAGATCATCTGAGTGCAGTGAATGTGCCCCAAGTGACCGAAGTATAAAGACACCTGTTTGTGGAAGGCCCAGTCACTGGTGAATCAGTACTACTGGCTATAACAACACAATGAAGACAAAAGACCACTCCAAACAACTCCATGAAAGGATTATTGAAAAGCACAAGTCATGGGATGGATGCAGGAAGATTTCCAAGTCACTGAATCTCGCTTACAGACAGTTAATCTGTCATAAATAAATGGACGGAATATGTCACATGTAGGTCTTCTTAGGTAGAATGTCTGAAATCTGAGTGATTATGCATGAAGGATAGTAGTGAAGGAGGCCACCATAACACCTATAACTTCTCTGAAGGAGTTAGAAGCTTCAGCGGCTGAGATGGGACAACTGTTGACTGTTCTTCACCAGTCAAAGATGTGTGGGAGTGTGACAAAGATAAAATCACTGTTGAAAAAAAATAGTATAAAATCTTGACTAGAGTTCACCAGAAGGCATGTGGGAGGCTCTGAACTGGAAGAAGCTCCTTTGGTCTGATGAGGAAAAAAAAATAGCTTTTTGGCCATCAGAATAGAGGTTATGTTTGAAAGACTGCACTTCATTACACATACAACATTCCCACTGGGATGCATGGTGGTGGCAGCAGCATCATGACATGGGGATACTTCTTGGCAACAGGCCCTGGAAGGCTTGTAAAGATGGAGGGTAAAATGAAAGCAGCAAAGTATCAGAAAATCTTGGTGGACAACCTGATGAAATCTGCCAGAGAGCTGCATCTTGGGAGGAGATTTGTTTTCCTGAAAGACAGTGACTTGCAGCATACAGCCAAAGCTACACAGAATGGTTTTCTAATGACAGGGTGGATGTTTTGTGGTGGACGAGTCAGAGCCCAGAACTCAGTGCAATTAAAAATTTTTGGCTGGACTTGAAAAGGACTCTTCACTCAAAATCCCTGAGCAACCTGACAGAGTTTGAACAGTTTTGCCCCCTTTTGCTGCTCTGAAAGCTGTGAGCGTCTGTTATGTGCAGCCCTGTGCTCTGACTCACAGTGAGTAGCTGCAGGTTGGTGTTCTGTTTTAGTTTGATAATATTTTGTGTACAAGCTAAATACTGCACATCAAATCAAATCAAGTTTATTGTACACAGTAGGTATGTACAGCAAAATGACAATAAGCTTGATTTAATTTGATATGCAATATTCAGCGTGTACACAGGCAACATGAGAGAGCGTTTCTTTAGGATCATTTAATTAGTAAGTTTTGCGGAATACACGTCTGGGATAGACAAGACACTGAACGCTCACTCTCGCTGTCTCCTGAAGGGGCCGCGGCGTCCATGCATACAACCATCACATTGAACATGGCAAACCTCTTCAGGTCCTGGTAGATCTTCAGGGACACAATGATGGTGAAGCTGCACATGATGCCCAGAGCTAGCTGTCTGTCTGTCCGCCCGGAATAATGTCGTCTCCTCCAGCTGTATGTCTGTCTGAGATGTTGTCATGGAGCCATGTTTCTGTAAAAGCAAACACACAGCAGTCCCTCCACTCTCTGCGGGCTTCTCCCAGCAAAAGTAGTTCATCCAGCTTGTTGTGGAGGGAGTGGATATTGGAGAGTAGGAGCGACAGTACTACTGGTCTGGAGGGGTTAGCCTTTAGTCTAGCGTGGATCCCAGCTCTCTTCCCCCTGCTTTGTTTTTGCTTCCTTCTCTCTCGGGTAACTGCTGGCGTAGTCTCCGATCGGACCCCGAGTTGGTGTAGCATGTCCAAATCACAACTGATCGCTGCAATTCCAGCGCCACCACTATCTTGATGCCTAGCAAAGTCTCCCAGCCACAGGTTTTGCAGAATGGGATAGACAAGACACTCAAAACGTTCACGATTGTTGTCTCCTGAAGGGGCTGCTGCGTCTATATGCGCTGCCATCACCATGGCAACAATATACTAGTAACACTGTCTATGTTGGTTTCCCTTATTAGAAATAAGCATCATTCATGGATGTCTTAGTATCCTATATGCACTTAATTTTTGCTATTACTTTCTGGTAATGGTGTTTGCTTACTAACTTGCAATACTACGGCTGTTCTTTGCTGCCAGGCAGTATCATCCTAAGTCATTTGGTATGACTGGCATAAACATTGTTAATATCCAAGCAAAATCATGTAGGGCATCAAGTAACTTTTGGTTTGAGGAGGGGTCAGTAAACCCCCAGTAATTATGAATGCACTGATGACCATTAAATAATAAACCCATGACTAGTCCTTGCAGTGAAAGCTGGTGGTTTTCTTTTATTATTTGGTATCAAAATAAAAGGAGATCTTGTCTAAGAGATCATGGTCTTTTTAACAACACAGTGCAGAACCAGTTACTTTTATTATTGCCACAGTTAAAGGTGTGGTGAAACAATTCATTGCGCCTAAATGATGTGTGCCAGTGCAATCAATGTAAAACGTTTGTGTGGCACCCATTAAGTGAAAAAGCATTTATCTTGATTACTGTTGGTGCATTGATTTGTATCAGTAAAACAGTAGTTCCATCATGGGACAAAACATGAAAAAACAATACCTGCTCTCATCTATCTCCAATATGCCACGATAAACAAAACATACACTCCTACGTACGTCTGGTTTCTCTCGATACATACACTTTTTAGAGGAAAACAAGGCTTTTTTTGGCATTCATGACATTGCTATACAAACAATTTGATTAATTCTAGGGTGCTCAGTAGTTCGTATAATTAAATTAATTAGTTCTACAAGGTATAATATAGTTTCTGGTCACTGAAGCTGGGACGTATGCATTTAAGGATTAAGTAAAAAGCTTCGGCAGTCATTAAATGCTTTGCTACAGACAGTTATGCCTCTTGTTAAAATGCATTGTTGTAGCTTGAATGATCCCTCAAGATTTCATGAAGCGCCAGCTTGAAGTTTTAATATGTCCAATACCTGCAAAATACCTAGAAAACTAATCTCCTAGCAGCCCAAGTGAAACAAGTGTAATTAAGAATGGTTCAGTTTCATCAAGCGTTCCATGACAGTGAGCCAGCATGCACAGCACAGGGACCCTGGAATTATCTCAGTAAAATAGAATTACAACTCTACTTTCCCTACTGTGAAATGCCAAAATTTCTGTAGGGAAGAAAGGTCTGTAGGGACAACAACAAACATTCTGATGCTAGCATTGCGCTTAAAGCCTTAAAATACAGCTTCACAAAGTGGTGGTTATTTGTATCGCAATAAAAACACTGATCAGCTTCAGCGTTAAAAACTCTTGAGTTGTACTGTGTAGGTTCCCTTTGTTCCTCTGGAGGTGTCCTGTACTGTCTGGTATGGGGATGTTGGCAGTGGATCTATTGGGTCCTTTGGGTTGCAAAGTGGGACCTCCGTGGGTCAAGCGAGTTCAGGCACAGCCCATAGATACTTGATTAAATTGAGATCTGGGGAGTTTGGATGCCTTGTGAAAGCCTGGGGCTCTTTCTCGTGTTATTTGAACAGTTCCTGAGCAGGTTTTGTGGTGTGGCAACTGCTGCTGGCATGATGATGTGTGTTTGATCTGCAACAATGTTTGAATTGATGGTGCATGTCCACATGAATGACAGCACCCAGAGTTTCTCTGCAGAATATTGTATTGTAACGAGATGAATGTTAAGGGACAAGCCACAAACACAGATGAATTGGAATCTACAGTTAGTTTCATCCTGCACATGACAATATTAACACGTAGCAGTCCAAATGCAAGTCATTCCTCGCAGTCATAATAATGGATAGACAAGCACAAGATTAGAACGTAAAGATGCTGAGATTGTTTGTCACCATCTTGGCAGTGCCTCATTCCTCCTAACTACTGCTTGCTCCGCATGAGTGGAGCTAAGGCAGGTCATGCAGATGTCTCTGGGTCATGAACTGTCCTGTGTCCAGTTCCTGAGCAGGTTTTGTGGTGTGGCAACTGCTGCTGGCATGATGATGTGTGTTTGATCTGCAACAATGTTTGAATTGATGGTACATGTCAAAGTAACATCCACATGAATGACAGCACCCAGAGTTTCCCAGCAGAATATTGTATTGTAACGAGATGAATGTTATTCAGTGTTATTCACTTAACCTGTCAATGGATTTAACATTGTGACTGTTCAGTGCATGTCCTGTTGAAGACTTGTAATTCCTAAAATAGCTGGGCACATGGCTTTTAACAAGCTTTACTCAAACAGGGGTAAACAGAACCTTTGTTGGGGACTATTTACAGCCAAACACACAGTCCACTACAATGTATTCATAGCAGCAGGACAGTGTTTGTTTATTGACTCAGAAAAAACGACAGTGGCCATGTTTATGGCCACTTTATTAAATGTCAACAGCATGGTTTATCGTAGTGTTATTTAATAGTTTTTGGGCTGAAGTGGGGCTCTATGCCAGTGAAGTATAATATCTATTAGATTCTGGATAAACACACTGTACATGGTAATAGGATACATTCATTATTTTGTCTTGTTTTTTTGTCATTTTATTGGATTTGGACATTAATTAAAATATAGCATACCACCATCTGTTGTAACGATGAGTTCCTGTTATTTAACAGAAAATAAAGACAATCTAATAACATGGTCCTCTGCAGCCAAGCTCGGTACATAAATCTTCACTGCAGGCTGTTGGCAATAATGATGCTCGTTCACAGTGAGAAATTTTGTTCCTTGCTGTCCCTCTATCTCACTGATTATACAGTCATCACTTCCTTTTCTCTCTCTCTGTGTCAGATAACAGCTTTTGATGAGCTCCAGGCTGACTTCAAGGTGCCGATCGATCAGGGCAATCCACTCCATGCGGTAGGTTTGCATTCGCCTTCTCATTTTCATTCATGCTGCCAAACACTTTGTCTACATGCCTCTTTTGATGATTGTCTTAATGTGTATATTTGCTGTTGAAACAAATGGAAAATGCCACGCACATTAACACGGAGCACTACAACAGAGGCTTTTCCAGTCCACATTTCTGTACCTTTATTCTGTGTCTCTCTCCATAAATTTTAAATCAAGCAGCTGGCAACATGCTAGTTTTGTATGGCCTCCACTCCTGACTTCCTGGCTGACAAGCAGACTCCTATTATAGGACTTAAGGCCAAAGCATTAAGTATGAATGACTCATCTTTTAAAAAAATAAAACAAACCCTTGAACCCAAATATAAATAAAATAGAAGGGACAAGCCACAAACACAGATGAATTGGAATCTACAGTTAGTTTCATCCTGCACATGACAATATTAACAGTCCAAATGCAAGTCATTCCTCACAGTCATAATAATTGGTAGACAAGCACAAGATTAGAACGTATAGATGCTGAGATTGTTTGTCACCGTCTTGGCAGTGCCTCATTCCTCCTAACTACTGCTTGCTCCGCATGAGTGGAGCTAAGGCAGGTCATGCAGATGTCTCTGGGTCATGAACTGTCCTGTGTCCAGTTAGATTATTGTCACTCAGAGTGGCCACACCCTTAAACTGCATAACTTTGAGTCTTAATACAATTTAAACAGGCAAGTCATATAAAAATGTAAAGCCTGGACAGTTGTCATAAAGGTGAAAGTTAGTTATAGAGACCACAATGTTTTTTTGGACCTGGCTTTAAACATGATTTTATATAAGTTAGTATATAAAGTTGGGCGTTTTACCATCTTTATTGGGATTGTCTCACTTTTGGATACAGCCTCAAGTGGCCATTCAAGGAACTGCAGTTTTCTACTGTGTCCTTAGTGTACAGCCCGAGACATGCAGCTTCCTCCATCGACCCAACATCTGTGGCAACAATACACAACTGTAGAACAATGTTGTGCCCAGTGGGGGTGAAAAGAACAAAGGACTACATTTTCTTGCCTTGCCACTGCTCACAGTGAGAGTAAGATAAAAGTAAATAAAAATAAACAGCCTTGTCCCAGCAAAAAGTATTTACTACCTTTTAACCAGTTCGATTTGTACTGCAAGCACGTAATGCTAAAAGAAGGAGAAATTGACTGGTTTCCTTTTATTTCTGAACCTCGACAACTCTTGAATCCTTCGATCGCTTCTCACATTAGACTTGTTGAGAAACAAAATGCCCAACCCTCCTGACAAGCCAAGTCAACAGCACTGCACACACAGCTGGATCTGCCCAATGCATGTGTTAAAGACACATTTACACACAGCTGATTGCTTGCAAGTGCAGCCATAAGGTAAAGCTCACAGATGAGCAGAGCTGGCTGTAAGATTGTGCTATCAGACGCTGAGTGCCTTTGTTTGAATATAATAATATGCTTAATGGAGTTTTTGTTGTGAAGCGAGCTTTTTTAAACCAGCTTTTGAGCATGTTTCCTACTCACTGTAAAATATTCTTACCTTGTATTAGACCTAGCATGTTTCTTTCTCTCTTTGTTTTCTTATTAATGTGCAGCACACATCCTCTCCTTGACATTTGAGCTCAGTTATAGGAGTAAGCTGATCTTAAAGTTTCATTTTTGGGACTCCTGAAATAAAAACCTTGGCATCCTCACTTTCACACCAACCTGGCATCATGAAATACCGTATGAAAAAGTCACTTCCATTTGACTGGTTCTATTGTATGTCTCTTTTTAACAAGTTAATGAAAGTGTCACTTGTTCCCAGAATGTGTATTTTAGGTTTCAGCTCACAATACCAGGTCATTTATTTATTAGGGCTGCAGGAACACCTCTGTATGTCTACACCACTGGGGGCGCTGCTTATCCTGTTGGAACGTCATAACAGCCTGCAAACCTGAACAACCTTTTTAGAGAGATTTTCTGATTTAGGGAGAAAAAAAAAGAAACGAGTAGATGGTCTTTACTCATTTTGTGTGTCTCCAGACGAGCTGGGGACACATAATTAAGTTCAAAAGCAATGGCAAACTGGATTTTGCACTACATGGCTCCTTTAACAATGTTGTGTGTTATTTTAACACCGTAAAATGAAACATAAAAAGCTATAATGCCTACAGTGGCGTGCTGTTTGCACACAATCCAATAATATCATGTTGATCACTCCTGTACTATTTCACTTGCACCTTTGCATTCTCACCTGTATACATGTTCACGCACTAGTTAGGATTTATGATTTGTGTCTTATGTCTTATGTTACTTTTGAATAGTATTTTCTGGGTATTACTTTTTTTCAGTGCAACAAACCATATTTTAATAAGGAGTCTTCACTGGTTGCTTTTGCATGATATGATCAAGGCATCGTTTGCCAACAAAAGGCTCCCAGTTGCCTTCAT